CTTTGCCTCTTTCGCGGAGGGTGTGACCTCTGCTCCTTATTAATGCACACCCCCTCCCCACCAGACCAGCGACAAACCGGGGACAATTCCGATCGCCCACTCCTGTCAAACAATTATCGGAGGTTGGGGGGGTGCGATCGAAGTGGAACGGAGAGCCCCGCAGGTTTCGGTTTCGGATACGTGCCGTGCGTTCGGGCGAGGCGAAGCTGCGTGGGCGGGCGAGAGGAATGATTCCGCTGTGGCTGGGACGGGTCAAGACAAAAGAGCGCCCCTCCTGATGGGCCGGCGTGGCCAAGGGTGTCCCGCCGTGGCCGCCGTAATGTCCCGTCGGTGTCCTGAGGGTGTCCCGTTGGTGGCCGCGGGCGGTGGCCGGGGTTGTCCAGCCGTCGGTGTCCCGTGGGTGTCCCGTCAGTGCCCCGTCGATGTCCCGTCGGTGTCCCGTCGGTGTACCGTCGGTGCCCCGTCAGTGTCCAGTGGTGTCCCGACGGTATCGCGTCGATGTCCCGTCGGTGTCCTGTCGGTGTCCCGTCGGTGTCCCGTCGGTATTCCGCCGTCGGTGTCCCGTCGGTGTCCCGATAGCTGTCCCGATTAGTGTCCCGTGGGTGTCCAGATTGGTATCCCGATTGGTGTCCTGATGGTGCCCTGGGGATGTTTCGATGTTGTTTCGATGGTGTCCCGGTGGTGTCCCGATAGGTGCCCCGATTAGTGTTCAATTGGTGTCCTGGTGGTGTCCTGGTGTTGTACCGGTTGGCGTTTCGATTGGCATCCCCATGGTACCCGGTGGTGTCCTGATGGTGTCCCGATGTGTCCCTGGCGCATCACCAGCATCACCACCATCACAATCATCGCAGTTGTCCTCAGTTGGTTCTTTCCCCCGCAGCCTCCGTACCACCCGAAGGGTGGTCGTATAGGTACCGAATGCAAGTGGCGGTTCGGGCGCCGCGTGATCACTCCACAACGTACTTTGAATGGCACAACTCGAGGGTTATCATGTTGCGCTGCGTGCGCAGACCCAACATTCCTGTCAACAACACGTGCAAAACACATGTTGCGGCAACATCGGAGGTAAGGGGGTGAGATGTGAGATCGCAATGAAACGAAGAGCCCCACCGAGAAATCGGTTTCGTGTCTGTGTTCGTGTCGCACGTGCGGGCGAGGCGTTGCTGCATGGGCGGGCGAGAGGACTGAGCCCTCCTGTGGCTAGGGCGCCGCCGATCCAAAAGACCGCCCCCCCCGATTGTCTGGCGATGGCCAACGGGTGTTCCGCGGGAGTCCTGCCAGTGTCCAATGTCCCGTCGGTGTCCCGTCGGTGTCCCGTCGGTGTCTCGTCGGTGTCCCGTCGGTGTCCCGTCGGTGTCCCGTAGTGAGACCGATAGTCAGATCGATAGTGGGACCTATTATAAGATCGATCGTGAGATCCATAGTAACATCACTAGCGATATCCACGGTAAGTTTGTTAGAGGGAGGGATCGTGAGATCGATAGTGAGATCGATAGTGGCATCTATAGGGGACCGATCATGATATCAATAGTGATATCGATAGTGAGATCGGTACTGAGAGGGATGGTAAGATCGATTTTGAGACCCATAGGGGCATCGAAATTGAGATCGACAATGAGAACGATGCTGACATCGATAGACAGGTAATGAGATCGACACGAAGATCGATAGTGAGATCGATAGCGGGATCGATAGTGGCACCGATAGTGAGATCGCTTGTGAGACCGAGAGTGAGATCGAGCGTGAGATCGATTGTAAAATCGATAGTGAGATCGATAGTGGGATCGATAGTGATATCGAAAATGGGAACGATCGTGAGATCGTTCGAGTGAGACCGACAGTGAGATCGATAGTTAGATCGGTAGTGAGAACGATGGTGAGATCGATAGTGCGATCGATCGTGAGATCGCTAGTGAGATCGTGTGTGAGATCGATAGGAACATCGACAATGGGATCGACCGTGAAATTGATAGTGAGACCGATATTGAGATTGAAAGAGACATCGATAGTGAGGTCGCTAGTAAGACCGATATTGAGATCGATTGGGCGAGACGTTGGATTCTCTTCGAAAAGCATCCTTATCTCACGGAGGGTAGTCGTAAAGGGATTCAAGCATGCGCGGGCGATCTGCGATCATTGAACATTTTCATTTGACAAAAATGATAAAGCAAGGGGTCCCTGGCACGCGCGACGCACCTCATGGGCGTCGCGCACTTGGCTGGCGTCTGCATTGGTACCCGATGGCTGTCGATAACAGCCCCTGCCTATACTGAGGCTCGGCTGCTACATCTGCGGCGGGAGGGTGGTTGAGTGAGCAAATTTGCCAGTCTTCGGGTTGGGGGAATACCTTCACCTCTGCACCATATTGATGAACACGCCCTCTCCCTCCCGACCGCCGACAAACCAGGGACAATGACAATGCCCACCCTAGAACCATCTTTGTTTCAAACAATACATGCTGAATTTTGAACTGGGGCAAAATCTTGATCATGTCCTGGCGCCGCGCGGACACTTATGTTTTGACAAGGACAACGGGGGGGGGGTCATCATCTCGCCTCACGTGTGCAGGCCCACAATCCTGGTCAGAAGCAAATGCAAAGCACACGCTGCGGCAAAATGTTCAACCATGTGCAGGGGGGGGGGGGTCCACGCAATCAGTTTGTACTGTCATTTGGTGGGGGTGATAGGGGGTACCCTGGCATGCGCGGCGGACCTAGCGGGCGTCGCCCACCTGGCTGGCGTCTGCGTTGGTTCCTGACGGTTGTCGATGCCGTCCGCTGCATTTGCCGAGGCTCGGGAACTACTTCTGCAGTGGGATGGTAGGGATGAGTGAACGAGACGACCGTCCTTCGGGAAGGATAGCTTGATCACTGTTCCTGATTCGTATACACCCCCTCCCCCCCTTACCAGGGGCGAACCCGGAACCATGCCACCCCCCTCTCACAAAATCAGGCAACATCGGAATCATGTGCGGGCACCACACGATCACGCCGCATTGTTTTTTGACAAGGACGAAAGGGGTGCGGACAGATTGCCTGCTGCGCGCAGGCTCATCGCCCCCATCAGTACACAATACTACATGCGCTTCCCAGCAACGATCATGAACGGGCGCCCCGCGATCAGCTTGCAGTGCTATTCGTCGAGTGATAAGAGGCCCCCGACACGCGCGGCGCACCTCAGCGGCGTCGCGCACCTGGCTGGCGCTTGCATTGGTGCCCGATGATGGTCGATGGCGGCCCCTGCCCATGCGGAGACTCGCATGCTATACCTGCGTGGCGGGACCGCGGGTGCGCGTGAGCGAGACGACCGTCCTCCGACGCGGGGCAGCTTGACCACTGCTGCCTTTTTAACTGACACCCCCCCCCCCCCCCGCCGGACCGGCGGCGACAGGCCCGGGACACTGCGGCCCGCCCCCTCTCCGTCGATCTGCGGCAGAATCTTGGGTCGTGTTCGGGGGATGGCGCGAGCACGCTGTGTTCGTCTTGGGCAGGGACGGCGGGGGTGCCAGCACATGGCCAGCTGTGCGCAGGGCCGCCATCCCTGTCGACTTAAAGAAACTTACATTTCGCGGCAAAATCCTGACCGCGCGCGGACACCCCGCAATCACTTTGCCTTGGTTTTTGGCAGGCACAGCGGGGGTGTTGGCATATTGCCTGCTGTGCGCAGGCCCACCAAACATCATGATAGCCACTCCGCCGCCATTGTGCGTCGGTGTTCGACAATGGTGATGGAGGCCGACATGTTTCCCGATGTGTGCGGGCGCACTTGGCACACCCTGCGCGTGCCCCGAACGTGGCGCACCTGGAGCGGCTGGAGCCTGCGGCAAACTTGGCACACGTGGAGCAGGTGGCGCATCTGGCGCACCAGGCGTGCCTGGCACGCTTGGGCCCCAGGGGCGCCTGGCCTGGACGCGTGGGGCGCCTGGCGCGCGTGGCGAACCTCGCCCCAGCGTGGAGCACCTGCGGTCTGTACTGGCTCCCAGTGGCTGCCCTTCCTAAGACGACCGCTGAATGTGCTGAGATTCGGGTACCGCTTCTGTGGTGGGAGGGCGGGTGGGAGTGAGCAAAACAGTTTGCGTCTGGGAGAGGTGTCCTGAACCCTCGCCTTACCCCCCCTCCGCCTGGGTCTGCACGGGGGCACTTGCGAGCGATCAGAGCGCTCAAGATGGCAACAGCGAGAAAACACAAAACCTTGACTGTTCATTGGCTTGGGCTACATTTTCGCTTCCTGGGGGGGGGAGGTGCGTTCTGACCAGAATGCCGAGGATCATCCGGCCGTGGCGGCGGGGGTCCTCCAGGACGAGCAGCGGTTTCGGTGCCTTTCCCTCCTCCGCCTGCTCCCGCTCTTCTCCCTCCCACCCTGCGTCCCCCCCCCTCCCTCCGCAGCAGGCGCCGCGTGCTGCCCTGCGCTCGGAGGGCGCCAAACGTGCGGGCCCCAAGAATGTGAACCACCATCACGTCGATTCCTCCTCCCTCTTCTACCCTCCTGTTCCTTTCCTCTCGCAGGAGGGAGGAAAGGGGTGAGGGAGGTGGTGGTGGGCCCGCAATACATATATATATATATATATATATATATATATATAACCTACACCAGTCCTGGCCTGGCCCACCCTGGGCGCACGACCGGTGTATGCGCCCGCCCTGGCGCGGGCGCCGAGGCATGCACACCGATCGTGGGCCCAGGCTCGGCCTTGGCCAGGGCCTGTGCGGGTGCAGACAGTGGAGACCAATCCACAAGAGACCTTCCACCAGAAAGAAACCAAACCCTGCGACCCCCGGGCACGTCCCTTGCCTGTTGGTGCGGGCACGCCACGCCCTCCGTCGCAAAACGATCGACACCTGCGAGCCCGGGGCCCCCTGGAGGCAAGCAGGGTGCCCCTTGGCATGGGCCTCCTCTGCACCTCGTGCCCTCCGATCCACCCTCCTCTCCGTGCCGTGCGGCACGGCGTGCGCTCCCGGCCCGCGCTGCGCCGCCCCCCCCCCCCCTGCGGGCGGGCGGACCTCCTGCTCGGGCCGGCCCTCCCCCTCGTCGGCTCCCTGCGCCGCGGGCTCGCTCTCCGCCTCGGCGCCGGTGCCAGTGCTGCCGCCGCCTGCTCCGGGCGCAGCGGAGGACGGCCAACGCATAGGAGGAGGATGCGCGGCAGGGGTTCAAGCGCCTGGGGCGCCCGAGCTGAAGTCCTCTGAGCCAAGGCTTGCCCAAGGCTGAGCCGGATAGGCAAGGGTGCAAGGGCGCCCCTTGGGAACGTCACTCAACCTCACCTTGCGCAACGGCTGTAAGACGAATCCTGTGTTGCAGAAGTAAGGGAGCTCGACTGTCCGATCGCGCCATCGATCCATATCTCAGCCGCGCAAATTCGGCGTCGAATCCATGTCGACCACGACGAATCCGTGTCGAAAATCCGTGTCGAATTCATGTCGCACCTGCGCCGAACCCATGTAGGAGATCCAGAGACGGCCGCCACTCACAGGACAGGAGCAGCCCCCCGAAGATGCAACGCAACAAATCAGGTGTTGCTTGAACTGGAAGTGCTCTCCTCCTCCTCCTCCTCCTCCTCTTCCTCCTCCTCCTCCTTGTCCTCTGCACGGCGCCCTCATGTCTCGCAGCCGCGCCTCCAGCAGCAGAACTTGTTTCACCAAGTTTTGCCAACGCACCTCTGACGTGCATGGCTTCTCTTCCCTTCACCGTCTTCTTGGCCCCAGATGCCACCCGGACCCCAAGCGGGGCTCCCGCTGCCTCCAGAGGACACGCCTCTCGCCAGGAGCAGAGCGCCGCCAGGGGCCCCAAAACTGTGCGAGAAGCCCTTGGGCCCCGCAAGGGCCGGGGCCACCTCTCGGCTGTGGACAAACCTCCCTTTAGTAAACCTCCCCTTAGTGAAAACGACCTAGAGCCGAAACAGACGGCCCTGGACCCGCAGAAATGACGGCCGCGACGCCCTCTCGCGAACCGAACACGGCCAATTCCTGAATCGACGTGTTAGGGTAGGAGGTCTATCCACCTCCGAACCTCTAAGAACACCCGAACGAAGCGAGGACTGGGACAAACTAGGGCCGGGACAGATCGGGGACCTCTGAGAGCAAGCGGCTCTCGGTACGTATCGGGCGCCGCGGCCGTTCCAAAACGCCCATGGAACGCCCCGACATCGTCCTGGAGCGCTCTGGAACGATGCATCCCAGCCCCAGCCCCGCCCGACGGAAGGTCGGAGATGGAACCGAACAAATACACCGATGCCGATGCCCTTCCCTCGTTTTCGCCTCTCTGGTGGTGGGGTGGGGGGCCCTCGTCGCCACGGCTGGACTCGCCTCGGAGTCCTGGTCGGAGCGCGCCCCGGGAGAGGCCCAGGGAGCGAGGCGTCGTCGGTACCTCGTTGGTCCCACTTGCAGGGGAGCAGGGCCGGGGTGGCGGACTTCTGAGAAGTGTCTCGCCCCCCCCCCCCCCCCGCCGCCTCTCAGAAGGCGTGGGGCGCGGTGCCCCCTCAGCAGGCTGTCTGAAGTGGTGGCGCAAGCGATTCCTAAGACGAGGGCTGCTTCCCACCAGGTCCGGCGCGGTAGCCCGCAATCTCCAACATGTCTTCCCGTGTGGTCTTACGTGTGGTCTCCCGCGTGGCCTGTGGTCTCCCACATGGTCTTCCGCATGGTCTCTTGATTGTTCTCCCGTGCGATGAATTCTGTGGTCTCCCGCATGCTCTTCTGCACTTTGCTATGGCCTCCCGATCGGTCTCCTCCACGGTCTCCGGTATCGCCTCCGGTATGGCCTCCTGGGAAGCCTCCCGCACGGTCTCCCGCACGATCTCTCGCACTTGACGGCGCTCGCTGCACTTAGGATGAAATATAGCAAGCTGCGCTCCCCATCTTGCTCTCTGGACGTGCTCCCCTGGACCTCAGCACGTGCTGCGCAGGACCCTCTGCCGCCGAGGGGTGCAGCTCCGAGGGGCCCCCGCAGCCTCTGGGAGGCCCCCCCTGCCGCACTCGAGGGCCGCCCGCCTCGCCCCCCGCCCCCCTTCGGCGCGACCAGGCCTGCGGGGGGTGGGGGGGACGGGGTCCTGGGGCGCCAGCACCTGGGCCGAAGGGTTGGTGGGCTCTGCTTTCCACCACCGCCACCACCACAAGTAGGAGGGGGAGGGGGTCCTCCTCCTACTCCCTCCGCCTCTTCATCCTCCTCCTCCTCGTCCTCCACCTCCTTCCTCCCTCCAGCTCGTGGTGGTGGTGGAAAACAGGCCCATCAAGGGTGCCTCCGAGGGTGGCCCAGGCAGACCACCCCAGACCGTACCAAAGGGCCAGCAGTCTCTGGGGGAGGATGACGAGGAGGGAGAGAACGGCGAGGACGCTGTGATGCGTGCAGCGCTCGGCAAGCCAGCGCAGCTATCTCGGAACATCTTGCGAAGGCTTGCACCGAAAAACTACGTCTTCCAGGATCCCGCCGAAGACAGATGGGCAACCTGCGACTGGGGCACATGTTTTTCCTTCCGCGTACTTCCGCCATCGGTGGCTCCTCCACCTCATTCCCGCCCCCAGTTTCCCCACCACGGAGAGTGCTCCAGGAGAGTAGGCAAGGCGCCGCGTCCCTTCGCCGCTGCGTGGGGCAGTTGGAAGAGGATCCGTACGCTGCGCGTTGCGACATTGACTTGTTATCCGCAGCCCTGCCTCAAGCCACTGAGACGAATGTCGTCAATTCGTCCAGAGTTCGAAGTTCTAAATATTGAATATTCAGACAAGTATTGAAAAGATCGGTAACCCAATTCATGGAATCCGCAGGGTGCATCTGGGGGTGTGTCGAATGGCGTCCGTGCTCTGCCGCATGATTTTTCCTGAGGCCATAAATCTTAAAGACGGGTCAGGATTGTCCCAAGAGTCTTTTGGGACGGCCCAAGAGGCCCCCGAGACGACCCAAGAGTGCTCCAAGACGGCCCACGATGACGTTGAGACGGCCCAGTGGCCCCAAAAGGCGCTCCAAGAGGGCTCCCAGACGAACCCCAAGAGGACCCAAGAATGCCCGAATCAGCACTTCGGGCACTAAGGAGCCAAACGCAGTGATTGTTGATGCGTTTCGCAACGCCCCAGGACGACCCAGAGGCCCCAAATACTGCGCAAAGACCGGAGGGTTCCCAACGATCGCCCCAAGACGGCCCAGCAGGGCCCTCAAGACGGCCCCAAGAAGGGGAAAGCGAATCGACCTTGGGCGCCGTTCTCTCGAAGATAGCCCCCAAGGCGCCCAACACGCCCCCAATGGCCCAACAGAAGCGCCCAAGAGGCACCCAATCACATACATGCTGGTGCCGCAACAAGGGGTACGAACACATCAACTACGTGACATGTTGATGCTGCCACTGCTGCTCTTACCGCTACGGCGTCTGCGTCCAATCCAACTCCTGCTGCTCCCACTGGCGTCTAAAACAGATGTTACGTTCTCGCATCCGCTGCAGCTGACACCATGGCGAATACGTGACTGCAATGTTTACTGGTACTTCGGCGACTGTCCCTAGACATGCAAAGTATGCTGCTACTCCAAACCATATGTTCACCAACGAGACATCCATACCGCACAAATAATTCAATTACTCATATTAGAATGTTCACGGGTATCCCGAATTTCTTCTCCAGTACACCTGCAATTCTGCTACGACCACGGATAGGTCTACAAGCAAACAACTACCAGCACCATGGCCCGTATTTCTGTAACTGCTACGGCATCAACCCATGACATCACGACCACTGACCCAACCAGTGAAAATGCCACTAGCATACTACCACTGGCACTACACACGCCCACCTGGCTTGACACATACAACCATTGAAACATCAACTGCGTGTGAGCAGCACTAGCACGCAAACCGCGACACCTGTTACGTTCCATTCTTACACCACCGCGCGGGACACTGGCCTTTGGGCAACTCACGCACTCGGCACGAATAATCTTATCCTAAGTCTTCTGAGAACCACATCGGCCCGATCCCACAACGCGGCGACCCCAGGAAACCAGGACGCCACTACACCACTGCCGCAGCGAATAGCAAGGTCGCGGATCATCTTGGGCGCTTGAAGCACATAGCAGGCAACGTGAGGTTGTGAGTTGGACCGTAGGCGTGGACCCGTCGTTGAGACGAACGGCTAAACAACAGCGTCTGTGCTGGATTGTGCAACCTCCTTGCCCCGCACTGCTGCCTCGGGGCGAAGGAGCCGAACTCGAGGAACCTGACGGTAGAGTCGTTGAGGAGCTTGACGGCACAGTCGGAGAGCATGATGACGAACTGAAGGGAGGGCCACTCTTGATTGGCTGTCCTTCTGTACTCAAAACGGTGCGCCGATGAGTGGCACATCACCGGAGGCAGCCCAAGCTACAACAACTGGAATTGTATAGGGGAAGACGCGAAATGAAACGAGAGGAACTGGAACGGTGCGGGTTGCGAGGTGACTGTGGGCTTGGATTGGACTGGGCTTCGCTGCAGGTGGACCAAATCCGTTGATGGGTGGGCTGGGCGGGTTGGAAGGGAGGGGGACGTGCTATACGGGATTCTTCGAAAGGTGTCGCATATCATCCAGAGAATGGGCTGGGCTGTCTGAGCAACGACTTGCCTCGGAACGGGCGAGGTGCACATCATTTTGCAGCGGCTGCTCTGCGTTTGTTGACAAAGGAATACTCTAAGAAACCTGGTCCGCGCCTCGAGGTACCATTCTTCAGCAAACGCCGAACCCTGATTCGAGAGGTGCAGCCATCTTTCGAGCACAATGGATGCAACATGTTGCCAACTGTCCTGTGGGCTGAATGGAGAGCAATAGGGCACCTACTAGATGTCCCATTACACATCTGCAGATTTGTCTGCCACCGTGCCTGTGGGCACGGAGTGGGCGTGTTCTCAGGTGCTTTCGCTCATCCTCTAAGCCTCAATTCTCACTCCAGGGGGCTCTCTTAAGGGCCTGGACCCCAAATTGCTAAATCTTCTTGGGCTTGTCGCGTGCACCCTGGGGCTTCTCACGACTTCTCGCGTGATTCGTTCGGAGCCACAAAGGTCCCAAGACGGGGCCAAGAGGGCTCCAAGAGGCACCGAAAACGGTCCAAGAAGGCCCCGAGACGTCGAACGATTGGCGCAAGATGCGCCAGACGGCCGACGACGGTCCAAGAGTCTTGAAGGCCTCCAAGACACCCCTATAGGCTCCAAGAGGCCTCCCAAGAGGGCCCCAAGAGGCCAGAATCATTGATTTGCCGTTGGTGTTTGGAGGATTCAGGCGGTCTCGCCTTTGCGGCTTCCCGACGCTCCAAGACGGCCAACGAGGCCCCCAAGATCGCCCCAAGACTGCTCCAGAGGCCTCCCAGAGGGCCCCAACACAGCCCCAAAAGGCCCCCAAGAGGGCCCCAGGAGGGCCCCAAGACCGCCTAAGAGGGCCCAGAGATGGTGCCAAGAGGGGGCCTAGATGGGACACCCGAGCAAGCATTTCGAACCCTCGGCCCCGAGGGGCCCCCAGCAGGCCCCAAGAGGCCCCCCAAGAGGCCCCGAAGAGGCCCCAAGAGGCCCCCAAGAGGCTCCCCAAAGGCCCCTAAGCTTGCTCCGGAGAGGCCTCCGAAAGCGCTCCGCAGAGGCCCGAAGAAGCACCCCCGAGAACTCTGACCCGCAACCCAGGGACGGTGGCGGGCGGGATGGGCCGAGGGTCATTAGATTAACACTACAGATATTCATAAAGTTATGGCCCGCTCCGGCAAAAAACCTTTTGAGTCCTACAACAAACGCATCTGTTGGAATGCAAGGAAGCACTTCCGCCAACGTTTCTCCGGCGGAGCCGCCCCCGTTTGCTCCCGCCAGACGTTTGCCAAGGAAGAGATACCAACTTCTCGATTCATCGGGGGCGAGGCTCTGGCGACGCTCAAGCGATACGTTGCGTCAACTGGGCGGTATGAGCAGCACAAGCTCGAGCCCGCTTGGCCCAGGGCCCTAGCAGAGACATCGCAAATGATCAAATCCTTCATCCGAGGACCGAGGAAACACATCCCTAACGCTGTTGGCACGCCCAGGGCGGAAAGATGAGCGTCCAAGACCGCAGGATTGGACTGCATAATACCTGCCCAGCCCCCTTTCTGGCAATCAGCCTACGAACAGCCGTTGGCAGGATTCGCCTTCTTGGAGGGGAGCCGCCAGAGCAAAGCGCAACGCACTTCCACAGAAGACCGACGCGATACACAAGCACAAGGGGCGCAAGGAGAAACATGAAAACAGAGGGAGGGAGAGGCAGGGAGAGAATGCGGGAGACAGACAACACACATGCCACGACCAAGGTACCCTTATAGTGGGCAGCAAGTGGCATCTGGACTGCCTCTCTTCGCATCCTGGTCTTCCCTGCCCACGCCCTCCTCAATCCCCGAGGGGCCAACAGCGCACATGGCAGGAGGCCTCACCCGTGGCGGATTGCTGCCATGGCGACGGCCAGAATTGAGCGACCTCCACTCCCAGAGTCACCAAGGGCTCTCGTCCCCAGCTTGCGCGTGCGCTTCTCGCAGCGGGCCGCGCTATGTAGAGGCCAAGGGCCCGAAACCGGCCCCACGGAGGACGTCAAACCAGGGAGCGCCCGCTCTGGCGTCCTATCCTCGAAGCGCGGACCTCGAGGAAGACGACGACGACGACGACGACGACGACGACGACGACGACGACGACGACGACGAAGCCCCTAGCCCCCTCCCGCATGCCACCCCTGCAGGTTTCTCGAGCTGCGCTCAGCCGTGACCTCGAGCAGCCTCCGACACATACAGTGGAGGCCACTCCACAAGAAATCTTCCACAAGAAACCCAACCCTGAGACCCTGGGTCGTCCACAGATTTCTGGTTTCGGAACGAGGCGCTTTCCACAGCGAAACCATCGAAACCCAAGAAACCCAGGGCACCCTGGAGGCAAGGACGGTGCCCCTCGGCCTGGGTCTCCACTGTGGGAGGGCCCAGGACTCCTTCGCCTCCTCGAGGCGCCGCCGACCTATATGCCGAGGCGGCACGCACCTGCTGAGACGGCGCAGGGAGCCTCCAGAGGCCCAGGCTGGAGGCCCCCGTGCCGCCCTGCCCCACCCCCCCCCCCTGGAGGCATCTGGCGGAGGGCGTGGCAGGCAGGTCTGGCTCCGAACCTCTGCCTGATGCGACTGTCTGCAGCGGTACGTCCTGTGGGGGAGGCCACACCTGCTCGAAGCAGGCGCGAAGAACGGCCACGATCTACTGCGGGGGGGGGGGGGGAAGGGGGGGGGGGGGCGAGGGCCCGCGCTGATCGGCAAAACAAGGAATAAGAAAACCGTCCCAAAAACTACGGTCAGGAGGTTTTGCCGAGCGTGTCGTGGCGGCGGCTCTGGCGACACGCTACGCCCCGCGAGTGGAGAGCGCGTCGCCCCGAAAGGCGCGGGGGCGGGGCAGGCTGGGACACGCTCGCGACGCTGGAGCCAGGGAGTGGAGAAGTGGACACCGTTCCGCGCCGCAGCGTGGTGGGCCAGAACCGGCGGAGGAGGAGGAGGAGGAGGAGGAGGAGGAGGAGGAGGAGGAGCAGGAGGAGGAGGAGGAGGAGGAGGAGGAGGAGGAGGAGGAGGAGGAGGAGGAGGACCGACCAAGAGCCCCCGACCGCATACCGTGCCGTCCCACACGCTGCCGAAGAGAGAGCCGCCGCCCCCCGCCTCGGCGCCGCGCCTGCAGAGGCGCCCGCGGCGGCGCCGTGCGAGCTGCTGGAGGACGCTGCGCCGCAGTCGGCCGGCTCGGCGCCGGGGCGGGCGGCCAACGAGCCTCCGCCGGGGCGGCGCGGCGGGCGCGGCCCTGCGGCCCTCGGGCAGCTTCGGTCTGGCCCCAAGGGGGGGCCGTCGGGGAGAGCGGCAGCTCGGGTCCTTGCGGGCGTGACGATTGCTTCTGCCGGCCCTCGGCTGGCGCTGCAGCGGCCTCGATCTGCTCCGACAGCCCTTGGGGATCTCTGGGCTTACCTGGATCCAGAAGGCAGGCTGGAAAGCCCAAAACCGTGCGGTGACGGACCGCGTGGTGACCTCGAAGTCCCAGGAGACCTCACCCGCGCGGTCATTCACCGCACGGCCTTGGGACCGCGGAGGCCCAGGTCGCCCAAGACGGCCTCAGAGAACGACCCGGGTCCAAAAACCGTGCGGTGGCCCCGAATCCCCACTGACCCATCACGCGATGTGGTCACCACACCGTTCGAGGGCTCCGGAGAAAAGCGGCTCGAGGCGCAGCGCTGGCCCCAGGGGGAGGGGGTTCCATAGTTGAGCAAATCTCTGCTAGGGATCCAGGCTGTGAAGAAATCGCGACGTCGGAGGCCCAAAGCAGGAGGAGGAGGGAGGATCAAGGGGGAGGGGAGAAGGAGGGGAAGGGGTGGAGGAGGGAGGAGGAGAGGAGGAGGAGGAGGAGGAGGAGGAGGAGGAGGAGGAGGAGGAGGAGGCGGAGAAGGAGGAGGAGGAGGAGGAGGAGGAGGAGGAGGAGGAGGCGGGGGAGGAGAACGAGGAGACAATCGAGAAGGATCAAGGAGGAGGATCGAGAGGAGGAGGAGGAGGAGGAGGAGGAGGAGGAGGAGGAGGAGAGGAGGAGGAGGAGGAGGAGGAGGAGGAGGAGGAGGAGGAGGAGGAGGAGGAGGAGGAAGAGGATGGAGGAGGAGGAGGGTGGAAAAGGAAGAGGGGTGGCGAGAACGGCGGAGGCATGCCGCAGGCTCGAGGTCGTCGGACGCTCTCGCTCCTCTCCGCTGCCGCGACCGGGGGCGCGGCTCGGAGGGACGGGTCCGCCCGGCGCGGGCGGGCCCGTCCTCGGGGCGTCCTCGCGGAGGGCCCGACGGCCGGGAGCGGAAGAAGAGCCGACGGGCGCGCGCCGTCTCGCCGCGCTCCGCGTGGAATCCAAGAGCAGACGAGCGCGCTCCACTACTCGCAGCGTAACTGCTCGCAAATGGCCTGGATTCACCGCGGGGGATTCACGATGATTGCATCGAGGAGCACGTGCTTGTCTGACGTTTGCGAGTAGGCACTTTGCGAGTAGCGGAACGCGCTCGGTGAAAGAAAGCTGCCTCGAGGGGGTCCCCGGAGCCGACCAGAGCAGATGCCGGCAGCATCGTGGCTCCCTATACGGGGAACGAAGAGGAACGTATACATAAAAACTCGGAGGTCCGCGCGAATTTCTCGGATCGGCGCTGGACCCGCCTCCCATGCGCGCGGAGCGCGCCAAGGGCGGCGCCGGAGGCGCCGCCAAGGGGGTCTGGCGCGGATCCGAGAAATCCGCGCGGACCTCCGAGTTGTTATGTCTACGTCCTTGTTCGTTCCCCGTCCCCCTAATCCTAACCTGAAGTCGGATCTGTCGCCCTACAGACCGATTCTAAACGAAAAATCAAGTATATTCTAAACATGTTCTAAAACATTCCAAAACGGTCAAATCATCGTCCCACGACTCTTGTTGTACTATTTTTGGATACTCCTCATGTAGAGGGACAGGCCCGACTTAATCCTGGCCCGGGTCCCCCCCCCTCCGCGCGCTGCCGTGGCCACCGCCGCCCATCCCTGGCCTCGCCACTGGCGCGGTCGCACGGGCGGCCGCGAGCCGCCCCGCCCCTTGGCCCAGAGAGAAAGCACCTGGCTCCCGAGCTGCCGCGGGACTGCCCGGCCCAGGCTCTGGGTGCGGGTCTGCGTGTGCCGGGTGCGGGGGCTTGCGTGCGCAGTTGTCTGTCCGTGGCTGGCTCCCGGGAGGCCTTGTCTGCACTCTTCTGCCGCGACGGCAGAGCAGCGGCCTCATGGGAGTCGGCAGCAGAGAAATGTCACCAACTTCAAATCGTGCTGCATTTCGGCACTGCTTATCTCCTGTCTCACCCTGCTCGCGCGCCGTCCGGCGCAAGGCTGACGTTCGTTCGTTCGTTCGCGCCTGGACACGCGTCGAGTCGATCATCCGCTTGTGCAACGCAGTCCTTCTGCACAACTCGTGCTCTGCTTGAATTGTGCGGCTCTGCCCTGGACCTCTGCCATCCAGCACGTCCTTCGCCCTTCTGCCACGCAATCGTCGAACTCATGAGCCAGACCTCCGGGGCACCGCTTGGGGATCTGCATGGTCTGCAAAATCTCTGGCCTTTCCGAGGCCGCCCCCTCCTCCGGTCTTGCCCATCCCCCCCCCAATCTGCTTCCGCTGAATATCCGCCGGCCCCCTTGTGGGGCCACCAGGCTGTAGGACGAAGGCTCGCAGTTTCCTGTACCAGTTGCAGCTTCCAGTTCCACTGTTACAGTTACAGTTCCACTGCTACAGTTATGCTTCTTGCTGCTTACTGTTCCTTGTTGCCTTCATGCTGCTGACTGTTCCTTGTTGATGGACCGCGCGAGGGGAGGAGGCCCACAACGGGCATTCTTAGCACGCCCTGAGCGTGTGGTCCGAATTGCTGGCGTGGGTAAAAACTGTCACCCCTCACGCAGATCGGCGGGGTCAGGGTCCAAAAACACAAAGGAAGGACTTGCCACATTTCTGAAATTCTGTGGCACTCCTCACACAGATCGGCGGGGTCAGGGTCCAAAAACACATGGGGTTTGCCACATTTCAGAAATTTGCTGGTACTCCTCACGCAGCAGATCCGTAGGGTGAGGGTCCAAAAACATAGAGAATTTGCAAAATGTCTGACATTCGGTGGCACCCCTCACGCAGATCGGCGAGGTCAGGGCACAAAAATACAAAGATTTGCCACATTTCTGCAATTCGTTGGCACCCCTCACGCAGATCGGCGGGATCAGGGTCCAAAAACACAAAGGATATACCACATGTCTGAAATTCGGTGGCACCCCTCACACAGATCGGCGGGGTCATTTCTGAAATTCGGTGGCACCCCTCACGCAGATCGGCAGGGTCAGGGTCTAAAAACACACAAGATTTGCCACACTTCTGAAATTCGGCGACACCCCTCACGCAGATCCGTGTGGTCAAGGTCGAAAAACAAAAGGGATTTGCAACATTTCTGAAATTCGGTGGCACCCGTAACGCAAATCCGTAGGGTCAGGGTCGAGAAACAAACAGGTCCCGACACTGCTTCACGGCGGCGCCCAGACCTCGTGATTTAGCTTCTGCATCTCCCATTATCCGAGACAGGGGGCCGGCGGCATGGGGCGAAGCCCTTACGGATATAACTACTGACGCGTCCCGCCGTTAGCTGGACCGCTTGTTGGACCCAACTCGCCGCAGACCAAACATGTGTTGGATGTTGGGGGAGGGTGCTCTGCGGTAGCCAGAGTTGCCGTTGAGTGTACGAGCGGCAAGGCAGAGGCAGATGGGAACGGATGGAATTGCAGCCTGACGAGGGCGTGCGCAGAGCAAAACACCCATCCGATCCACCGATCAAGTGGCACGGGGCAACTGTATCTGTCCACTGACACACACACAAACAAACCGAAAAAATCTCAAATATATAAGCGGAAACGGAGAAACCATTCCTTCCACCCCATCCACTCTCACCTCTCAAAAATAAAACGGGCGAGTTACCCAACTAACCTTCTTGTAAGACTCGTTACCCGACGCACTCTGGACACCACAACCCTCCTCGAAAACAAACGTTTTGATGTTGGTCGACGCGCGACATCAAAAGCGGGCCACGGGGTCAGATTGTTGTCTCTGCAGTTGCCCATGTCGGCGCGAACACTGATAATTTGTGGTTCTGGGGCGCCGCCACTTCGCCGGAAAAGCTTGCGTTTGACTTTGAGGGTGAGCAGAAACCCCTTTAGCAAGACATCCTTTGGTGAAGACGACTCGAGAACCCACGGAAGTTCGAGATCGCTCCAAAGCGTCCCAAGAGGCCTCCAAGAACACTCCCAAGAAAGGCCCACGAGGCAAAATTCATTGATTTTCCGTTGGTTTGCGTGGGATGTTTGAATACTCTGCTTGTCGGCTTCACGACGCTCCAAGACTGCCGACGAGGCCCCTAAGATCGCCCTAAGACGGCCCGGCAGACCTCCAAGAGGGCCCCAAACCGGCCCAAGAGGGCCCCAATCCGGCCCCCCAGACAGTCCCGACAGGGCCCCAGGAGGCCTCAGGAGGTTCACAAGAGGCCCCAAAGAGGCCCAAAGAGGCCTCCAAGAGGCCCCCAGGAAGCCCCAAGAGGCTCCCAAGAGTCCGAACAAAAATCCCGCAAGAACCCCACAGAAGTTCGAAAACGCCCGAAAAGGCCCCGAAGACATGCCCCAAACGGGCCAGCAACCCGAGCATGACCCCAAGACAGCCCAACAGAGCCAATACGCGCCCCAAGACGGGCCCAAGCCATCACGGAACTGCACCACGTCCCACAGGCCCTCAGAAGGCTTCGGGAGGCTCCAATGAGGTCCACGTGACATTAACACTCTGAACGCGAGGCGTCCCAAGAGCGAGCGGCGGCGCAAAACAACTTCAGCGTCTAGATCATCGAGCCCGCTGTGACACAGTCCCGAGACCCCTAAAGGCCCTCACACGGCTCCTTCCTTAGTCCCAAAGACACGGTCATTGGTAAACCCAAGTCGCCGTTCCACGTTCTGCCGTGTCCTCCATGCCGTCTCCTACCCAAGTTTTTCGGCACTCGCGAACCCGTATCTGCGTTTCTGGCCTCCCTTCCCCCTCTGTGGCCACGGCCGCGTACATGTATATAGACTTGCATATTACACTAGATTTTCCCGAAGAGACATGATACAGCTGTGTGTGCGCACGCATGGGTGTGTATATATATATATATATATACACGTGTGTGTACGTACATCAAAATACCCTCACACGCACACACACACACACACACACACACACACATATATATATATATATATATATATATATATATATATGGTCGCCCCCGCCCCCAGCACCCCCAAACAACCCAAAAACAAAAACAACGCCAACTGATCGTGTTCTCCTCCTCCTCCGTCTCCTCCTCCGTCTCCTCCTCGTTATCCGTTCCTCTTCCTTGTCCTCCTCCCCCTCTCCTGCTTCTCTTCCTCCTCTTCCTCCTCCTCCTCCTCCTCCTCGTCCTCCTCCTCCCCATCCTCCGACTCCTTGCGAGTACTGCCATACCGTGACCCCCACCTTGCTCCTGCGCCAACTCCACGCCCCCCAAGGGCAACGCGCCAGGCACGAAACACGGTGAAAACACAGGTATCCCTCATAGGTTTGAAGGTTTTGGTAAGGAAACCCTATGAAAACATAGGTTTCCCATATATGTTTGAAGGTTTTGGTAAGGAAACCTTGCGAAAACACATTTGTTCCAGATAATTTCTGGCTTTCTGGAGACAAGCGTCCCTCCCCCTGCTCCTTCACCAACCCCACCCCCCCCAAGTGCGACGCGCCAGGCAAGAATACATGTGAAAACACAAGTACTCCAAATATGTTTAAAGGCTTTGGTACGGAAACCCGGTGAAAACACATGTATTCCAGATATGCTTGAAGGTTTTGGTAAGGAAGCCTTGTGAAAACACAGGTGTTCCAGATATGTTTGAAGGTTTTGGTGAGGAAATCTTGTGAAAACACAGGTATTCCATATATTTTCTTGTTTTCTGGAGACGGGCGCGGTACATATATATATGTGTGTGTAGAAACACATGTGGACTCATAATTATATGTCTATATGTGTACGGTGTGCATGCGCGTGCGGGTGTGACATGTATGCGCATGCACACACGTGCACATGTGCACACATGTGCATGTCGCGCGCGCATGCGCATCACACGCGTGCACGTGCACATGCGTGCATGTCGCGCGCGCATGTGCACGTGCACGCACACGCCGCCCGCGTGCGAAACTCGAAGGACCAAGGTGCATGGCGAGAAGCGCCACGGCAGTCTTGTATATATGTATACACGCACTACGGCATCTGGGCCCTGACCCTTGGGGCTTCGCAGAAACGGCTCCGGATAACGTATACAGTATAAGTTTCCGGCCTGTTCTCTGGGCGGCACGCGTTGTAAAAAAACTACACGGCGCTGGCGCCGCCACGTGGCACTGAGAGGTGAACAAGCACAACATAGCATACTTCGCCGCTGTTGAAGTTCGTCGTGTTTTATGGGAGCGTCAAGATGATGCAAATTTCGTCCGATACTTCCGCTCGAGCGGGCGGGCGAAAGCTGACCCCTGTCCCGGTCCCTTGTCCCCCCTGGAATCCTAGCGGGCTGGGTCAAGAACGGTCGGATCAAAGATCCTGGATTTCTAACCTCTGGATTCCCTACATTTATAAAGCCGTGTGTATATATATATACATATATATATATATATATATATGTGTACATCTATTTATGTGTAAAACGGGGTAAAATAAACTCCCGACGTGAAAACACACGGTTTTAGAAATCCCACCAGGCGGGATCTTGCCCTGCCAACACAAGATAATGGAATTACAATTCATCACAAAACTTCTGTGACGCTGATGAGGGATCCACGATGGCGATGCATCAATACTCATCGTTCCATGTTATCGCATTTACCCTCGTGCATCCTCCGCCATTGCCGCCATGGCACCGGCCTCTGGCCCAGAAGCGCCGTTTTGGCCGCGACCTCCGACCTGGGATGGTATCCGCGCTGGACCAGGCGAAGCGAGCCCTCCTCGCTTTCCTGCGCACGCTCGCGGCGGCGTACGCCTCCACGGTGAGGGTGACGAGGGACACCACTTCCTGGCGTCCAAGAAGGCGAAGAAAGCGCTCGCAGAGAAGGGCATCGCCCTTTGGCAGATCCCACCTCGATCTCCGGACCAGAACCCGATTGAAAAATTGTGGGCATGGTTGCGCCGAGAGCTGAGGCGCCGAGACTTGCAGGATTGGAACGCCAAGCGCCCGCCTCGGAGTCGGACCGCGTACAGTGCCCGTCTACGGGCCGTCCTGCGTTCCAAGAAGGCGCAGGGCGGCGTGGGTCGAATCGCGGCAGGCCTGCTCAAAGCCTGCACGGAGGTGGTGTTGAAGAAGGCTGCGGCCTAGTATGGGGTGAAGAACGGTGCCGCCAGCAAGTGCTTTGCATGTCTCGCTCGCAATGAAGTTTCTTCTTCCGCGCGGGATAAGCGAAGGTTCCGCCTTCCACGCCAGATCAGAAAGGCTTCGCCTGCCACGCCGGATGAGCGAAGGCTTCGCCTACAACGCCAGATAAGGAAGGCTCCGCCTGCCACGCTGGATTACCAACCATTCGACGCTCGCCGCGCACCGTCTGAAACACCGCTACGCCCTTACAGAAGTTCGTCATGTTTCATGGGAGCTTCAAGATGATGCAGGTTTCGTCCGATACTTCCGCTCGAGCGGGCGGGCGAGAGCTGACCCCTGTCCCGACCGCGCCAAACTGGCCCCCTTGTCCCCCCTGGAATCCTAGCGGGCTGGGTCAAGAGCGGTCGGACCAAAGATCCGGGATTTCTAAGCCCGGGATTTCCTGCAGTTATATAATAATATAAATTCTAAAACGGGGTACATTAAAACCCCGACATGCAAACACACGACTTTAGAAATCCCACCGGGCGGGATCTTTCCCTGCCAACGCACAATGATGAAATTCCAATTCATGACGAATCTCTTGTACCGCTGATGTCATTGACAGGTTCCTGGCCCCGACTGAGCGCACATTCTGTTGTATTCTCGGCGATCCTTGTCTGTCTCGTCGCAGCCCTACCCGCGTCGAGTCCATGTCGACGCCATGTCAGATCCGTGTCGAACTGGTGTCGAATCCGTGTCGAATCCACGTCGAGTCCGCGCTAAATCCGCGTCGAGTCCGCATCGACCCCGCTCGGGCACAAGAAAAAATACCAATTTTGAGGACACGCGAGTTCCCGAAGAAGCAACGTAGTGCACCCCGATGCGGGAAAGCCTCCGAGAATGGACGACGAAATCCAAAGGTCTCGCCCCTCGACCGCGGGAGGAGAGACGCGAGCGGGGCCTGCGGCTCCGACAGCGGTGGCCTTCCCTCCGGCCGGCTGCTCCTCGTAGCCCAGGGAGCGGCCCGCCAGCAGCTGCGCCAGGTAGAGCTGCATCTGCACCGACAACAACCGACAGTGCCTGGCAACTCCAGCCGGCAGAACTCGCCATCGCACGGGCGTCCATTCCCTGTGCATTATTCGGTTTCGCGCGTGTACCTTCAGTAAGGGTGAGCAAAAACGCTCTCGTTGGTCCTCGCTGAGCAAAAATACACACGTCCAAGCGATGCTCAGAGAATCGCGGCGCGTCGCGGCCCGCGCCCCCTCGGGCCCCTCCCGCTCCCGCTCCACCCGCTCCTGTCTCCGTCCGCGTGTGCACCCGCTGTTCCTCCCCATCCTACCAAAGGGCCTCCTCCTCCTCCTCCTCATCCTTCTCCTCCTCCTCCTCGTCTTCCTCACCTGCCTGTCATGGCCAGTATTGCGACCTGCCTGGCGCTGAAACGCCAGACCAAACTGTTGGCAGTCACGCACATCACGTCCGGATGCGGAAGGACACAGGGCAACCAAGGATACACTGCACAACAAAACGGCTGCCGCAAGTGTCCGAGCGAGTCGCACGACCGAGCTGAACCGAACCGAACGATTCTAGGCACAAACCTGCTTCGCACTGGGACTAGCCGCGGGTGCACTGTTACTCGACCCATCTGCGGGCCTTCCACTCCTTCGATGGCCGAAGCCATGCGTATATCGCAACATCTGGTACATCGTCGAACTGCTTGGTACTGTAGCAAGACTACCGTGCCGACCCTGAGCGCAAGAGCCGACACGCAGATAAAAGGCGGCCCTCCTTGGCCTGGGGCGACAAAGCCGTGCTTGTACACGGCTCCCTGCCTCATCGGGCCCCGCCGGGATCTTGGAAGCTCCCGTCCCCTGCGTCTGCGGGGGACGCTCTGCGATCGTGCGCCGCAAAACACGTTTGTTTTGCCCGCTGGCTGGGGGGGGGGGGGTCGGCCGTCAAAGAGGCTCACTTCCTGCCGTAGTTCGTGCGGCAAGTTGTGTTTGACTCTTCGTGCACATGCGGCACTAAATTTCTGCCCGCGCGACAATCATTTCGTGCTCGTGCGGGGCAGATCCGCGTTCGTGCGGGAAACGACGTCGTGTTCGAGCGGCCGTGCTTTCGAGTTCGTGCAAGAGCGAAGCGCAACGGCCAAGCACCAGGGACTCAATGAAAAGCAACGCGCGGCAAGCGGCCCCCTTCGCGCTCGCCACCGCCACCCGCGCAGTCAACGTAATCCCGGCTTCGTTTGGAAAGGATTGCGTGTTCGCCCCCTTTTCAAAACCAAGATTTGAGCACCTATGCGAACCGCGTGAACAGCGACGGTATCGCAGCGCGAAGTCTGGTCGAGATCTAAACAGTCACCGCACGGGCGGATGGGGCATAGGGGGGCGGGGCAATAACTTCCGACAGGATGCCGGTCGACTGGGTTGTAGGGTATGGGGCTGCAGTGGCGCGGGTTGGGAGAACTGGTGATGGAGCCTGGCGAACGTCCTGGGAAGACGAGGAAGGAAAGGGGGCGGAACGGCGGCAGAAGCGATTGGTGTAAGCGGACGGATGCTCTTTCTTCCCCTTCTCCTGCCCCTTTTCCCCACGCCCTATCATCCATCCTCCCAGTCCCCCCTTTACCTCATTTACAACTGCACAGTATGAATACTACTCTCCCCTTTCCCCCCGAAACGTCCTGAGAGTGTCGTGCCCTCTTCCGCGAATTGGCCATTACGTACGGGACGCGTCCGGATCGTGTTGTTTTTATGGTACTGTTCGTAATCATCCTGTGGTGTGGGGTTCTCGCTTTGAAGAGACAGCGCCCCGCGTTCCTCCTTTCCTGTCCTCTCAGTTTCTTCCTCATCTTCCCTTCTCCCACCCCTTGCAACCCTAACGCGTTTCGTGGCCCCACCACAGGGAACTCCACAACAGGCCCAAATGCCAACGTTCGCATGCGCCCACCGCGCCCATTTTGACACACCCCTCTCGCGTTTTGTGGCCCCTATGGCTGCGCTCGCATGCGCCCACCTTGTCCAGTTTGGTACATTCTTCACACGTTTCGTGTCCACATTGGGAGCTCCACCGACGGCCCTGGTGGCTGCGTTCCTACGCGCCCACCGCGCTCATTGTGGCACACCCTCACACGCCTCGTGGCACCATAGGGAGCTCCACCGAATGCCCCAGTTGGTGCATTCGCACACGCCCACCGCAGCTATTTTAGCACACCCCTCACACGCTTCGTGGTCCAATAGGGAGCTCCACCAACACCGCCAACGATTGCGTTACATGCGCCCGCGGCACCCATTGTGACACGCCCGTCGCACGTTTCGTGGCCCAACGAGGAGCTCCACCGACGGCCCCCGTGACTGCGTTCGCATTCGTACACCGCATCTATGTTGCAACACCCGTCACACGTTTTGTGGCCCATGGGGAGCTCCGCCGATGGCCCCAAGCGGCCGCGTTCGCATGCGCCCTCCGCACTCCTTGTGGCACACCCCCCACACGTTTCGCGGACCCTGGGGAACGGCTGATGGTCAAATCCTGTACCTCCCGCGCAAACGGGGCGACGGCGCAAAATTGCCACGCGCCCCCTGTCCACGATGCAATGTTGATTGTCCGCGACCGCGGGGTACAGGATTTAGGCCAGTCGGCAGACCGACAAGTTTCGCCACATCCTGCCCATATTAAATGGGGGGCGCGAGGGGCGAAAACCACAATCTGATAGAAGCGCCGGGATTTGTCCATCAGCCGCAGGGGGAGTGCGAGTTCTTCCACGCGAAACCAGATGCGCGCGCACACATGAAAGTGCACGCATACATACAGACGCGTACACGTACATACCTACATGCATGCATGCATATACACATGCATGCGTGCATGCACACATACGTACGAGCATATGCACGCACGCGCGTGAGTCTGCGCACGCGCACGTGCGTCGACATCTAAATGTGAGAGGGGGCGGACCAGCAAGCGCAAGTCAAGAGACCTGGGGCGGTTAGGGCACCGAACGAGACGACCTTTTCCTGGGCGCCCTGCGCGCCGCCCGAGCGCTCGAACTACAAGTGTGGCATTCAGCCACATCTTGGCGCCGTGCACTCAGCCGCCAATGCCCGCGGCACGAATTTCCAGGCACTTGGCCGCTCGCGCGACTGAATCGGGGCGCCTGCCGTGCTCCGGACACATGCGCGCGAAGCAGCAGGGGCACTCATTGATCGTCTGCGCCCCAGTCGGGCGAGCGGGCAGAGGGCGCCAGAACCTGCGCGCGCGCAGCCGCCGAAGGAGCGTCGTCCATTCCGACGGATTACCGAGGGCCGCGTCTACGCTCGCCTTCTGGATGAGGGGGCCCACGTTCTTCTGATGGGTGGTGACGAAGACGGGCGCGGTACCCTCGTGCAGCGCGCTGCCAATGGCCCCGCTGTTCCCCGGCATGGGCGGGGGAACGGCTTGCCCTCGCACCGGAAGAGCTGCGTGGCCAGCGGCAGTTCGTTCTCCCCGAACGCCCAGTCGCCCGGCAAACAGCCCTTCTTCGTCTCCAAACCCAGCAATGGGTGGTGCCCTTCGCCCGCGGCGCCCCCTGCATGTTTTCCGCGCCGTAGAGGGCGCGCAACGGCGACGACGTGAACTACTGCCCCGCGCCGCCTGTATTGCCCATGAGCACCATCGCAGGCAGAGCGGCGCGAAGGAGCAGAAGGCGGCCATGTCGATGCAGTTCAGAGCGAGGGCCAGCTCAGCCCGCTCCTCCACTGGCCCCCGCACTCGCGCGGCCGCGTGGCAGAGCCCATGAAGCGGTGGAGCCTGGGGGTGCCGACGTCCGCACGGAAGGTGCCCACCTTCTCCCACTTCCACGCGTCGTCCGCAATCCCTCGCAACTTCGCGCGGTTCCGAAATCCCTCGCAACTGGCGAACGCCACCGGGGCCGCAGACCCGTGCTTCCAATCATGAGACCCGCCGCTCCACGGCCGTCTAGACGCCCGGTGTGTCCTTGAAACCCTCGCGCACGATGATGGGGTAGAGGTCGAGCTCCGGCGGGCGGGGCTCCGGGGCCCGGACTTCCCCGACCTTGGCCGCGCGCGCATTCAGGTCGGTTGGGCGGGCCGGACTGGCGGGGCCAGCAGGCGACCCCCCCAGACGACGCGAGACGAGCCGCGCCGATCAAGACCCAGCGCAGCAGACCCAGTGATCACGGCCACCACGAGCGATCGATCGATCTGGCTCATCTAAGAGCCGCTCTCAGAAGCCTGCTTCACAGCGTGCTCGCGGCGACGCGCGAGCGCCGCAGCTGTGGTGGGCTCTCGACAGACCTCGGACAGCGGCCGGTCGGGCCCGTCATGGTTCCACGCCCACGGCGTAGCATCCAGTTCTGTCTGCGGCACCTTGCGGGCGGGCATGAATCCGTAGCGGGTCGCGGACCAGTGCCACGCATGGGCGCAGAGACAATGGGTTGCCAACTTGCGGTTGACAGACAGCGCGCTTGTAGGCCGCGAGCCAGACGGACTTCGACGCCTTCAGGGCGACATGGGAGTGGCACGGCACTCGTTCCGCACCGAATCGAGGGGCGCGCCTCTCGCGAAACACCACGACTCTCTTCAACTGTAACTGGGTGCCCCATGCCCGTGCCGACTGCCGCGCGTGCGCAGGGTTTTGGAATGCGTCCAAGATGATGCGAACGATGTCTGCATGCTCCCATTGCGACTGACACGCGCGCCCACGGGCATCGTCGCCGTTGCGCGATGTCGCTTGGAGGCTCACCGAGCATGCGCTCTTCGTGCTGGTCCGCGGTTCGGGGTCGAGCTCCTCCTCCGCAGTATGCTCCTGGACCGCGGCTGGCATTGCCCCGCCTGCTCCGACCGCCGCCCGGCCGTCCTGCGCGAGGGGCGATGGCGCGAGCGGGCCCTGGCGCTGGCGGCGAGACACACCCCGCCGCGGCATCCTGCCGCGGGTGGCGCGTCGGCGCGGAGAGAACGGCAGGCATTCCTGCAGTCCGTGCGTCGGGTCTCATGGGCGCGAAACTGCGAGCTCCCCGTGCGCCTCGAGCCGCAAGCGGGACGCGGACAGAGGAACATAAACAAACACATATGACGAATGGGGTGCGTGGC